TTTAAATGAAAAAAGTACCCTGGATTTCAAAGGCAACAAAGTGAACTGAAAATGCTCTACCCTACTGACACATTCTTCAAATGCACATACAGATAATGTTTTTAAGGTGATTATCCACCTTTACAGGTATGACTAGAAAGATCTATATATAACAAATGGTTCCTTCCACATTGGATATATTTCACACTTCAGAACAGATACTCTGATTTTCTTCATCAGATGAGCTGTCTGAAAGATTTTCAAAAGTACTTTATTGCTAAGTTGAAATGTATTTTAATGTGCTTGCCAGATGTCATGATACATAAATATAAACAGGCAGAAGCTAAGAGAAAGCTGTGAAAACTAGGTAAATCATTTCCTTTTGAATCACTTCCAGTACAAGTGTCCTATGAACAGTACAGAAAGTCAGTAGAGGAAACATCATCCCTCAAACATAAGGCCAAGTACTACCTTAAGGTGAACACAAATAAAACCACCATTTAAAAGTTAACAGGGACGCCTGGGTGGCTCAGTGGGTTAAGCCTCTGCCTTCGGCTCAGGTCATGATCTCAGGGTCCTGGGATTGAGCCCGGCATTGGGCTCTCTTCTCAGCAGGGAGCCTGCTTCCCCTTCTCTCTCTGCCTGCCTACTTGTGATCTCTCTCTCCCTCTCTCTGTCAAATAAATAAATAAAATCTTCAAAAAAGGGGCTCATGGGTGGCTCAGTGGGTTAAACCACTGCCCTTGGCTCAGGTCATGATCTCAGGGTCCTAGGATCGAGCCCCGCATCAGGCTCTCTGCTCAGCAGGGAGCCTGCTTCCTCCTCTCTCTCTGCCTGCTTGTGATCTCTCTCTGTCAAATAAATAAAATCTTAAAAAAAAAATTAAAAATAAAAAATTTTTTAAAAAAATCTTCAAAAAAAAAAAAAAAGTAACAACAATCCTTCACAGGGTATGCCTGGCTGGCTCAGTTGGTTAAGTGTCTGGCTCTTGGTTTTGGCTCAAGTCATGATCTCAGGGTTGTGAGATGGAGCCCTGAGTCAGGCTCCACACTCTGCAGATGTCTGCTTGAAGAGTCTCTTCCTCTATCCCTCGCCCCACTTAAGCTCATTCTCTCTCTCTCTCTCTCTCTAAAATAAATAAATAAATCTTTAAAAGTAACAACACTTCCTCAAAAAATTAAACAGAATTACCATATGATCCAGAAATCCCACTTCTCAGTATATATCCAAAGTAACTGAAAGCAAGGACTCAAAAGATATGTGTACATCAACATTCCCAGCAGCATTATTCACAACAGCCAAAAGATGGAAATGACCCATGTGTCTAAACGGATACACAAAATGTGGTACAACCTTACAACGGAATATTATGCAGTCCTTAAAAAAAAGGCATGACATTCTGACACAAAAAAAATATTGATGAACCTTGAAGACATCATGCTAAGTGAAATAAGCCAGACACAACAGTCAAATATTATTATTCTACTTACATGCAATCCCTAGTCATATTCATAAACACAGAGAGGGGAATGGCTGAGGGAATAGAGGTATGGGGAGTTATTGTTTGATAGTTTCAGTTTGGGAAGACTAAAATATTCTGGAGATGGATGACGGTGATGGCTGCATAACAATGTTAATGTATTTAACTCCACCGTACTTAATGGTTTAAATGGTAAATCTTACGTTATCTATATTTTACCAAAAGTTTTTAAAAATAACCGAGCAAGAATGATGACCAAACCTTTGTGGCAAAAATATATCAAGAAAAGTGGTAAGAGTCTGTAACAGACATGCTTCACTGCCATCCTCCAGAGCCTAGATGACTTACCTGAAGATCAAGACCTCAGAACAGGAGGGAGGGACATGCCATTTTCATGTTGCTACAGATTTACACCAAGCAACTGAGGAAGATGAATTATATTCTACAGGAGATTATTTACTAAATAATGAATGGGCTCCCCTTCCCAACAATTAAATCAGAGAAAACCAAGCTCTTCCTTCCAGTTTCCAATGGAAATAACAAGATTGAAATAATCAGGGGCGCCTGGGTGGCTCAGTGGGTTAAGCCGCTGCCTTCGGCTCAGGTCATGATCTCAGGGTCCTGGGATCGAGCCCCGCATCGGGCTCTCTGCTCAGTAGGGAGCCTGCTTCCTCCTCTCTCTCTGCCTGCCTCTCTGCCTGCTTGTGATCTCTCTCTGTCAAATAAATAAGTAAAATCTTTAAAAAAAAAAAAAAAAGATTGAAATAATCAGTTGTACTTCTAACAAGAAGCAGAGTAGATCCTAAAAGTGACTTAAACTTCCCAAGTTTAATACTGTAGCTCTGCAATGGGAAACAGCAAGCAATAATAATAATAATAATAATATATACAAACTTCCTTCACGGCTCTAAGTGATCTGTACACGTTACCTAACCTTTCTGAGCTTCATCTGAAAAACAGGGATAATGCTTACATCTACCTTGTAAGGGTTGTTTGAAGATCTTATGAAGTGATATATATAAAACACTGAGTTCAGTGCCTAGAATACATAAATGCTCAGTAAATAAATATTCCCTCCCCTCCTGCCAGGCACTAGTGTGTGAGGCCCTCTGCACTCCTGGATCAACCCCTCAGGGCTATGCTGATGTTTTGGCCAGCAACCTATGGCTCCTCCCTCGCGCCCCAGCTGTTTCTCTCAGTTCTACTTGTTTCACTCCCGGTTTCTAAGAGGATCCTGTCTATATTTAGAGATAATGCCCGTACCAACTGTGGACTCAACAGGTGCTTCGGAGGGCACTTGAGCTCTCAGCAGTTTTCGATTGTTTTCCAGCGTTAATTGGTTCTGACTCCACAACTGGCTGCCTTGACTTCTACAAGGAAGAGCGCCACCTAGGTACAGTACTCGGCAGTACACTAGACTAAACTGTGTTCACAGATCAAACCCTTAGCAAGACCAGCTCTATTATGTGGACCCCCGAAGATTTGTTAAATCCCCAGGAGCAATAAACATTTACAAACTCTACAGAAGTACCTCCACTAACCCAATATTCATCTAAATCACTATTATCAGGGTGCCTGGGTGACTCAGTGGGTGAAGCGTCTGCCTTCGGCTCAGGTCCTGATCCCAGGGTTCTGGGATCCCGCCCCAAGTCCAGTCTGGAAACCCCCGCACAGCCGGGAGCCTACTTCCCCCTCTGCCCCTCCACCTACTCATGCTCCCTCTCCCCCCACCTCAAATAAATTAAATCTTTAAAATAAATAAATAAAATAAATCAATATCAGACCTAAGTTTCAACCAATTCATGATGATTATACTACAACGAAGATTAGGAGGAAGGATATGGCAGGTAGAACAATCAAGCAGTGAAGATTTAAAGAAGGCATCCAACAGAGCTGGGTCTGAATGTGGCTTTATTTACCAGCTCTGTGACCGTAGTAAATTATTTAGCCTCTTCATTATAAAATAGGAGATAACTGTGAGGATTAAGTTAAATGAGATAATGCATGCAAAACAAACTTAGCACCTTGCCTAGTGCACTCTAAGAGGTCAATAAAGAGCCACATTATCACTAGTGAAGATATTCCTTGCTTTGTTCAGTTTTTTTAAGATATAAGAAAAGTGACAATTTAGATCATTACTTTTGGATCTTTATAAAGTAGTCTAACACTACCATCCAAGACCTAGCCGGAAATATAAATGGATAAATTCCCAGAAATCTTAGGTGAGTCAGCAAAACTTAATACCCAATAAATAAAAAGATTAACACTGACTATTTATGAAGACATAATGGTAACTACAATTTCAAAATCAGCAATCTTGTATCTAGTACCACTCAATATTTGGTCTGGAAATCCAAGTATCAAGGAGATCAATGCAAAGATCATAACCCCAGAAATATTTTCCCACAGTATTTTCAAGTGACCTTTATTCAAACTGGAAAGTATAAGGCAGCCTGATAATCTGATATCAGCATCAAGAATTTCTTGAGGCAGAACCCAAACTCTCCCAGGAGCATAAAATCAGTAGCAGATGGTACATGAACATTTCTCAGTGAGAAACTGCAATTCTAACAAAGTATAGATAACTTCGATTTTATCAAGGCTTTTCATCACCTTTTAGTCTACATGAAAATAAACTCTTGGTTCTCCCCCCAAGCACCCTGAACTCTGCATTATCACTGACCTAACTCATCAAAGCAAGATGCCTCCTGTTGGTGATATGCTCTCCCCTGCTTCATTAACCACAGGTATATTAAATACAGTAACCTAACGAACACAGGAGAAATAAATACTACAGGCATGCTTCGCAATCAATGAAACGGACTATAAATGATAACCGAATTATTAAAAGAACAGCTTGTACTGCTCAGCAGAGGGACCAGCCTGAGAAAGATCCACCTTCCAAAAGAACCCAATCATCCTGGATAAATTGGAAGAAAGATGCCACTGTAGTCCACCTACCTTGTACTCTCAAACAAGATCTACCCTTCCGCTTTAAGACCAAACCACATCTATTTTATTTCTCTGCTACCCTTTCTTTACCTTATTTTCTTTTCCGTCCTCACCCCATTCCTAAAAATGCCTTTCTCTTTTTTTCAAATCCCACTTTGCCCCCCAAATCCTAAGGACCTCGGACACCCACGCAGATGACCTTACGCATCCCCACTGCATTCCCAATTCATTGTACTTCTCATCCCAAATGACCCATTCTTTCATTCTTTTCGATCTCGTTGTTTCTCAGAATCCAATACCCCACACACGCTCACACCAGAGTCCCCCCTTACTCCATTGTTTCCCCTGTCTGTGCCTCTGGAAACCCCCCAACTCGGACCCGTGTGCTTCGGTCCGCCCCACTGACCCCAGAAGCCTTTCACCATCTGGGTACTCCAGGTCCCAGAAGGCTCAAGTCCCCCTCCTCTCCACACCCCAACCCCCAACAACTACCCCCTCCCCCGTGCCCTCCCTCAAGCCCGCTCTCTTGCACCTCTGTGCCCCCCTCTTATCCCCCACCAACCCCTTCACCTAGAACCATCAGCCTCACCTAGCCGGCGCCCCCGCAGTTGCCGCGTCCCCCCAGTTCCGGGCTCTGCGTCCCGGACGCTCCAGGGTTTGAGAAGAGGAAAGGAGCTCCTCCGCCTCCTTCTCCTCCTCTTCTAGAGCGGCCGCCGTCGCCGCCGCGCTCCTCCCCCAGCTCTCCCAGAGCCGGACGCCGCCCCGCCCCCACCGCCCCTTTCCCCGCTTCGCCCGGGCGGCGGGCTGGGGATCGCAGCCGCGGCTAGGGGCCGGAATGCCAGCGGATCCACACCGACCTCGCCGGGGCTCGCGCTGTTCGCCCCGCCCCGGAGCCCGCTCGGGCGCGTGCGCGCCAGCCAGCCAGCGCACAGGGCGCGTGCTCGCGCCGGCACGAACCCGGCGCGCCGAGCTCGAGGCCGTTGCAGCCAACCGGCGCGCGAAGGCCCGGGCGCGAGGCGGCCCGCGCTCCGGGGATCTGCGAGTGGAGAGGCGCGGGGCGGAAGGCGGGCTCTAGTCTGTTGGGTTACCGCTCCTCTCGTGACTCAGTCCCTCGCGCCTCGCACCGCCCGCCGGGTTGCGCGCCTGAGTTAAGGGAGCTCGGGCGTCGCCGGGGATTGGAGGAGTGGGGTCGGGAACAAACTAGATGGGAGTAGGGACGGCTGAGACCAGAGCTCGTGCCCACGTGCACAACAGCCCAGGCCCAGAAAGAGCGGAGCGGCGTCGGGAGGAGGGAACTGCGCGCCCGGAGGGTGGAGGGCCCCAGCTGGAACTGCCGGAAAGAGCCGAAAGTCCCCCGGAGATTGCCGAAGGCGGACGCCTAGAGGGGAACGTCGGGAGGGGCTTTGATCTCTAGGTCCCAGGAAGGACTGGCTGTCTCAAGAGGCCTTGCGGTTCGCGGCTCACGGCTGAGCCCTGAGGACTTCCCAGCACTTTCTCCTTTCCCTCTTCCCCAACCCAAGTTTGACTCCAAAAGGCCATTTCGGAAGCTCCTGGACGTCAGGACTTCGCGACCGCTCAGCAACCTGGGAGTCCGTAGAGTCCGGTGCGGGGTCGGGGACAGGACAACCTCTGGAACCACTTGAGGGTTCTCTACCTCGTCCGCGGGACACACTGCCCAAGCCCATTTCTGAGTCGGTTTTCTAGTCTGCTCAGCTGTCTGCATCCCTCCATGCGGTTGTGGGCAGTTGGGCCGCCCATGAATCCTTCTGTTAACTACTCTTCTGGCTTCGTGATCAGATTCCCAACCACCCCATGACCAGAACCATCTCCAGTATTGGCGCACCTTTTGGGCCAGTGCTGGGCTCCTGTGAAGTATTCATCCCACCGTCAGCTGATCTGTAATCAATTAGGAGTGGCCAGAGACTGGGGATTAAGATAGTTAACAAAGAAAAGATTCATCAGAATCTGCCCGGTGTTCTTAGCTTTTGAGGCCAAAGCGTAAAAGACTCTGGACAGTCATCAGCGACAAGCCTGAAAGTGTACATGAGTGTATGCAGCTAGACACCATAGGCACAAGCTTGTTCACGCTTTCGCTGTTGAAGTCCCAGTACCTGTAATGGAGTAAGATCTCTCTGAAGTTATCTGGTCCTTTGTGTTTAACTTTGCATGGGGCTGAAGAGTCAAAAATACCCTGGAGCTAATAATGCCTGATCTAATCCAACCACATCATTTACAGATCTAAAGAAACAAAAGACAAGGTCAACCAGCTAATTAGGACATTATGCCATATGTTGCTTACTGTTGAATCTTTTCTTAAAGATTCAAATACGTACTTACTATTGAATATGTTCTCGAAGATTCAAATAGAAGCAAACTCTCCAAATATCTGTGCTCTTTTCATTCGTTAGATTCATAAGTACCCAATGAGTGGTAGGCATTGTTCTAGGTTTTGGGTCACTTACAAATAATTTGAATAAAACATTATCCCCAAGGAGAGTATCCAATTGTTAAAGGAGGATAGAAGCTATTAAATAATTAACTAAAATAGCATGTAATAAGTGTTGAAACAGAAAAACGCAAAGTGGTGTAGGAACACAGGAATGAATGACTAATTCTTCCACAATTTCCCTTCCTTCCCATACAGAGTAGAAATGAGATGATATGGCCCTGGCTAATGGGGAACTTCATGCTGAAGAATAGGACCTGAACCAATAGGATTTAAGATCTTTTCCATAACGACAGATTTCACCTACCAAAAGGTTTTGGGGAAACACCTTCAGTATAGGGCCTGTTGGTGCTGCAAAACCAATATACTTTCTTTGGGAGGAAAATAAAGTCTATTCTTGGAAATCTTACAGTGTTGGGAAAGACAAGAGAGCCCGTGGTCTAATGGGAGACAGTTTTTATATATAGATATCCCATATGTAGATATGTATGTAGAAGGGAGGTGAATTAAGGAGCATACCTAGGCCCAATCTATGAGAGCTGTCAAAACATCACTGGAAATCTAACACTATGGAGAATATCTTATTTAACAAGTCTCTAAGGGAGAGTTCTGAATGTGATTGGAAGGAATATTTTGCTAAGTCCCTGGGGAGGCAGTAGGTTCTTTCAAAAAAGAATTTTGTGTGTTTGTTTGGTTTTCCAAGCCATAGTCTTGTTCTGTTCTTTCATTTGGGACAAATTCCTCTTCAAAAAAGAATTTTACTCATAAAAAGAAATAGTCCTTCAAGAAGGAGGGTGGGTCACATACATGACTTGCTAAGTGAGGTTTGCAAGAGGGATCCTGCAACTCATGGACCGCCTTCACCCATTCTCCATACCATACTCTCTCTCTCCAAAGGCACTGAATAAATGCTTCAAAAATATCTTTTGGACCTGCGTTATAAAGATTAATTTTATCATTGTTCTTTACATATATATTTTCCATTTTGTACGCCGTACTTCACAATAAAACAATGTGATAATTTCCTGCTTTGAAATGATTGCAAATTATTTAAAGTCTATCTACTAATTATACTGGAGGACAAGAAATGCTGTAATAAATTCAATATATAATACTTGTTACGTACTTTGAAGAAAATGAAAAAAACAACCAAATGTCTGAAAAGATTAAAGTAACTGCTAAGGATTACAAAAGATCATTTTGAAATAACACTGCTGTGTCTCAGTTCAGCCTTAAGGGAATCAATTTATCCCAGGTTACCTAATGACTTCGTGGCAAAATTAGAACTAAAGATAAATCATGACATAATTTTCACCTTGGCAGATATATTTTGCAAATATTAATAAGACCTAATTTGATATGTTTGAAATAGATCCTGGAGAGGGGAATTTTTCTCATATTTTTGTTTGAGTTGAATTTTTGGATCTGAAGTGATTGATTGCCAGATTCTCTATTTTTATTAGGGAAAAAAAGGCTGAATTTAGACTGAGAGACACGAAAATTTTACTCATTATCTTGAAGACGATAACTAATGACTGTAATTAAGGAACATGATCTTTTAGAAGTCTCTTGGCCAAATCTGAAGCTCCAAACCACAACAGGCACAAAGACCACCAAAGGACATCTCATAGGGGTGTACTTGTCCCTCTGATCGCCCCACTTCTAATACCTAAGAATATTCACTTGGGCAGTCCAAACTGTGTGTCTTAAAAAATTAGTTTCATGGAAAGCTAAACAGATCTGAAAAAACTATCCCAGCTCCAAACATATTTGGGAAACACTGGGTAAAATGAAGTGAAACTGGTTTCTTTATTTCCCAGAGCATTTAACATGGTAATGTGCTTTGTTAATAATTAAATGAATGCCCTATATAGTATACAGCTTTCGCCCAAGGAAACAATTTCTTCCTAAGAGACTTCTGTATGGGATTCATGTTTCTTTGAGCACTCATTTTCTAAAGTTCGGTTAAGGGATACCTGGGTGGCTCAGTTGGTTAAGCAGCTGCCTTCAGTTCAGGTCACGATCTCAGGGTCCTGGGATGGAGCCCCGCTCTGGGCTCCATGCTCAGAAGGGAGCCTGCTTCTTCCTCTCCCTCTTCCCCTGCTTATGCTCTCTCACTCTCTGTCAAATAAATAAATAAAATCTTTAAAAAAATAAAGTTCTATTAAAGGGGTTTGATTAGGTTAGCATTTCTCATTTTAGAAATAACAAAATGGAGGTCCAAAGACATGAGTAACATAGTCAAATTTAGCTGTGTATCAGATGTTTATGGCTAGGGCTGGTCTTAAATTATCAAAGGTTGAATTGTGATATCACAAAATTAGTGGCAATGTCAAAACAAAAACTCATATTTGAAACAGTTCAGCAAAAGTGCCTTATAAGTACGTTAAAAACTTGAATTTGACCTTTTTAAAAAATATTTTATTTAAAAAAAAAACGGGACACCTGGGTGACTCAACAAGTTGAGCCTCTGCCTTTGGCTCAGGTCATGATCTCAGGGTCCTGGGATAGAGTCCTGCATCTGGCTCTCTGCTCAGTGGGGAGCCTGCTTTCCCTCTCTCTCTGCCTACTTGTGATTTCTCTCTCTGTAAAATAAATAAATTTTTTTTAAAAGATGGGGCACCTTATCAGTTCAGTCAGTTGGGCATCCAGCTCTTGATTTCAGCTCAAGCCAGGGTCCCAAGGCCTCAAGATGGAGCCCTGTGTCACTCGCTGCACTGAGCGGGGAATCTGCTTGAGATTCTCTCTCTCCCTCTCCTTCTGTCCCTCCCCACCCCACCACCTCGCTCTCTTTCTCTCTCTCTCCAAAATAATAAATAAATCAGGGAGCCTGGATGGCTCAGTCAGTTAAGCACCTGCCTTCAGCTCAGGTCATGATCTCAGAGTCCTAGGATTCAACCCCTCATCAGGCTCTCTGCTCAGCAGGGAGTCTGCTTCTCCCTCTCCCTCTCCCCCTGTGCTTTCTCTGTCCCTCTCAAATAAATAAATAAAATCTTTTTCAAAAATAAATATTAAATACATGTTTAAAAAATAAAAGTGAAGATTTTATATTTTTAAGATTTTATTTACTTACTTATTTTGAGAGAGAGAAAGTGGCCAAGCAGGGGGAGGGGCAGAGAGAGAATCCCAAGCAGACTCCACACTGAATCCAGAGCCCCACACAGGGCTTGATCCCATGACCCTGAGAGCATGACCTGAGCTGAAATCAAGAGTCGGTTGCCCAGCTGACTGAGCCACCAAGGTGCCCCAAAA